GGAAACCTCGTTGGATGTCCTGTCTGGACGCCAAGTGCGAATCACAGATGATCACATTCCAGTGTTCTATTGTTTTTGCTGAAGAGCAGACGTTGATTTTTATTTTAATTGATTGTGCACTTGCATCATGACTTCAACTGAAACGTTCACGCCAGTGGAGGACGAGGTTCTACTGAATGAAATTGGGAAGCACCCGTTGCTTTTCAACCCTAAATGCTCCGAATATAAAAACAATATAAAGCGAGAAAAAGTGTGGGTGCTCATTGCCGCAAAATTCGTTAGCCTGAAATATTCTTGAAACTTCCGGTCATCTTCCGCGAGGTGGCGGTTCACTAAAATGTGGAATGCTCCCTCGGTTGCTCTAGTTTGGAAGAGAGGGCTTGCACTGTTCCTGCCTTTCTCTTGGTGCAGTAGCAACAGAAGTAATAACTTTTGCCGTCTCAGGGCAAGATGGTAAAGAGCAAGAGCTTTTCTTTTTCTTCTATTATCCATTGGAATGGAGAAAAAAACACAGCGGAACGCATGTGCGAGCACACTAGCGATAGACGCCACACTGATATCAAAAAACACGAAAAACAGTGTGAAAACGCCGACGCTGTACTCAGCGCACGACGCCTGACAGATTCCGAGGAGAACAGAGCCGCGCCATTCGCGCCAGGAACCGCGTTTTTGACGCGATCGCCGTGCGCTGCGCCAGTTGGAGGAAAACCCGGCTTTCCCTCGGAACGATCCGGCGCGGATCGGTGCCGAGCGACATTGCGGCGCCCAAAGACGCGGCACTGCTCCGGGAGCAGTGCCGCGTCCTGGAGACGCTGCGCGGTGCGGCGCGGCGTCGCTGCTACTGTCTGGCACGGTGGCGCCGTCTGTTTGGACAAGTGTGAACACGTGTCATTCATCCTTTGTCCTTTGATGAGGGAAGTGCAAATCCTTATTAATCAGTCAACATAATAATTAATTATTAACATGGCACCACCAATACCACCAAGCGAAGCTCAATTCACCCTGGTCGAAGATGAGGTTTTCCTACTAGAGATTAGCAAACACCAGCTATTATACGACCCCAAGAACGGGGATTATAAAAACAACATCAAGCGGGAGAAGATTTGGGCAGCCATTGCCGTCAAAATGGGAAGAAGTGGTAAGTGCTACATTTTTTTATTTAAGAAATGTATTAATTTATTCATTCAACCTCATAATTGGACATCGTTCAGGAACCAAGCCATATCAGCTATTGCCAAATTTAACTACCTAATTTATTTTTTACAAGAGAGCGTTTGTGCGGATTCCTTTAAAAATTATAAGAAATGGGTTTAGTATCTACTATGCGAAAAATTCACAGGAATTTGCACAAAAATTCGCACAAACGTTTTCATGTAAAAAATTAAATTGCGCAATGAAATTTTGCAATTGCTAATTTGGCTATGTTCTTTCTGCTTACCGCGGTTCAATTGTTAAATCAAATGGACTTGAATTTAGATGTAGGTCAAAGAGAAGCTTCCATTGACCTAAAACTTCCTGAAAGTTTGCATATTATTTCAGAACTTGATTGTTGGTTGCAAGGTTCATGCGTAAAATGATACGGGTTTTGATAAAATCATGTATTTGAATTTTTTTTTTCAATTACAAATATTCATTGCGCAATGTCACAATAACAACTATTCTTCACAAACTTTGAGAAAATAATACATAATAAATCTCTTGAGTGGAATATTTTTAGGACCGTAATCAACTGAGAGAATTTCATCAATGAATGTATTCTTTCTGCCAAGAAACGGCACCAATGCCGTTGAAAAACTCGCAAAAAACATCACGTATCTCAAAGCCTTCTACGCCTTTAAACCCTCCACTGGCTGTTAAAGGTACCATGTTCTGTTTAGGTACTTGAGTGGGAATTTCTTCTTCGATGCCTTCAGCGATGACGTTGTCACGCCTCATATTATGTAAAGCGCAACAGGCTAGTATAACTTTATCAACTGTTTCAGGCTTCAAATTTATGGGCATAAAAAAAAATTCGAAATACTGCACACAAAATGCCAAACGCGTTTTCTGTCACTCTTCTTGCCCTGCTTAGTCGGTAGTTATAAATTGTTTTTCTAGAGTCTGCTTTCGACTGTTCTTTCGGAAAGGGTTTCATGACTCTTTTATGAAGCCGGAAGGCCTCATCGCCGCATATGACGCATAACATGGGCTCTGTGCAATGAGGAAGAGGCCTTGGTGGAGTGCCAGTGGGCACCAAAGAGTGAATCAACAGCATCTCCACCCTCGGTCTCACCGCCATGCTGGGAGCTTCACTCCCAGGCACCCTTAAGCACTAGCCACACTGAGCCGTCGCCGTCCGTTCCGAAATGTGATGATGTTGCCAACGAGATGGTGAAGAGAGAAATTCAGAGTGTCCTAGAAGCTGAGTCCACAGCCTCCGCCATAAATTCTAGAATGGCGGATGCTAGTATATCGCGGCTCGGTTTCATCCGTCTCCTGCCGTTTGGCTTTGCTTTCGTGGAAATGAACGAGCGGGCGCGCACTGACGCGCTCCGGCTCGATGCGGCGCCGTCTGGCTGCCGAGCCGTGCGCTGACGGATAGAGCAATCTTGCTTTAAGCAGTGAGCAGACAGAATCCGGCCCGCACCGGCCCGCACCGGCCCGTCTTGACGGTCCGTCGCGACGGAAGGTTTGCTTTTTATGGGATCAAATGGGGCCGCGCAGACAGGCTCCGGCTCGGCTAGGCTCGGCTCGGCTCGGCGCGGATCGACGGCCGTCTCGTGACGGCCAGGTTGCTTTTTGAGCAAAATTTGACGGAGACGGACTCGTCAACCCGCCAGTATTGTTGTGTTTTCCTTCGATTCCAGTTGTGTTGTTGTGGCCAGTGCGAACTATTTTTATTATTATTAAAATCATAATAGTATAATTATCATTATGAACGACGAGGCGCTTATTGAGGAGGTACGCAAGTACAATTTTCTTTATGATCCGAAGGACAAGCGCCACCACGACCAACGCTTGACTAAAAATGCGTGGGAGGAAATTGCAAACACTCTAAGCTGTTCAGGTAATAAAAGATTCTTTTTAATTTTTTAATGTAGGTACTAGTGTTTAATAATACTTGAATGACTCCTATAAGTAACTATGTGGCAATGTGGCGTGACTTAATTTAAGGACGGTCCCTCTTTTTAATAGGAAAGTTTCTTTTTGCAGAATCTGCCGTTACACAAGGGGCCGTTCATAAATTACGCCACGCCGAAATTCGGGCTTTTGGAACCCCCCCCCCCCTCTTTACCACAACATTTAGGCCCATCGCGCCGATTTTCGGCCCCATGTTATTGTAAAGTCAGCGCTTCGCGTCGAATTTTCAATTTTTTTCCTGCGCTTGGCACCGGGGGGAGGTGTCCAGAGCTAGTTTTCTCACTTGAAAGAAAAGGTAGGTAGGTAAAGAATGAAAAGTAGGTTCTGTTGTTTTTTGTTTTTTTTTTACCATTAAACAATGATTTATTCGAGTTCAAAATGACATTTCTGGTATGGCACACGCCGGAAAAAGAGTGGATGACATTGAAGGATCAGTCCGATACTTTGGAAAACACGAATAAGTATTTCTATTAAAATCTAAAACCGAGCGAGAGTGAAAAAACTATATTGAGTTTTAAGTTTCTTCAGAGGAAGGACTTTTTCTATTCTTATTAATTAGGTGTCTCTTTGAGCTGATAATGTTGCTTGCCATTGCCATGGGACCGATCCAGCTTCTGACATAAAGTAAGCCATGTAAATATCACGGATTTCGAAAGCATCTCGTGGGTTGTTACCTCCTATCCCTGGGATTTCTCCCAGGCCTTCAGTGACAGCATCCATTTCAAATTCGCCTGGTTGCCAGCAACATTTATCGTCTCTCAGGAAATTGTGTAGGATCGTAGTCGCGAGTATAATATAATCCATGGTCTCGGGCTGAAAGCTGAATTTTTTGCCATAAATTCTGAATTTTTTAGCGAGAATGCCAAATGCATTTTCGCTGACTCTTCGCGCTCTGGAATGACGGTAATTGTATATCTTTTTTGGAACGTCATCTCCGAGATAAGCACCAGGAAAGGGTCTCATAGAATTAGTCAAGAGCGGGAACGCCTCATCTCCAACGATCACCATCGGCACAGTAACCTCTGAGTAAGGCAACGCTTTTGGCGGAGGAATATTGAGAGTGCCATTAGCCAGGGATTTTCCCAGACTTGAGGATCTGAAAATGCCACCATCGCTATTTCGGCCGTATGAGCCGACATCGACGGTGATGAATCTGTAATCTGCATCTACAAGGGCTAGTAGAACAATGCTGAATTCTTTTTTGTAATTGAAGAATAGTGAACCCGATTTTCTTGGCTTTTCAAAAACTACATGCTTTCCATCAATCGCCCCAATGCAATTAGGGTAATTCCACAGAGTCCAAAATCTTTCTGCATTTCGCAGCCAAGTTTCTTCAGTTGGTTTCGGCATCCAGGTGTCTTTCAGCGTTTCCCAAATTAGCTTGCTCGTTTCGAAAACTATGCCTCGAACGGTGGACTCTCCCATTCTGTAGCTGCATGCGGTGGTGTAGATTGAGTCTCCATGCCCGAGAACTCTGAAAAAAAGAAATTCAAGCACGTTGTAATATTTAAACTCCCCAAAATTTTAAATTTTTAGCAGCTAGGAGAAAATCTGAGCCATTTCTTGCTTTTTAATCAGTTTCAGATTGTAAGAAACGATGGAGCAGTCTCAGAGACCAGTACCGTAGACATGTTGTCAATAGAAGTAGAAGTGGCGACCCGGCTAAGAAAAAGGCAAAATGGAGGTATGAGGATGTAATGTCATTTTTGAAGGGGTCCATGCGAGAAAGAGGCCAGAAGTCCAATTTGGCGGAAGAGGATACTTCAGACGTCATCGGCATCGAAAATGACGAAACACAATTTTCCGACTCTGAAGAAACTGAGTTTCCTGAAAATTTTGAGTCAAATGATGGTCCAGTGCCACCAATAGTACCTACGACTTCGTCAGCACCTCCTCCTGTAGCAACTGTCTCAACTACCCCTTCAACATCCGCCTCTGCAGCTGGAAAAAACGACTCTCTCGCCCCTACCTCGCAGAAGAAGGAAAAAACTAAAACCCCGCCTATCAAACAAACGGCAAGCAGTCAAGTCCTGCAAGCGTACTTAGCTTCGAAGAAGAAGCCCGAGGATGATCATTTGTCCAAGTTTTTTGCGGCTATGGAAGCGACAGTAAGGAAAATGAAGCCCATTTTTCAGATTAAAGTAAAGGCACAGGTGAGTTCAATAATTGCAGATTTTGAGATGCAATCACTTTTAAGTGAGGAGGCTTCAAATCATGCTGTTCCTTCTACCCACACAACCACCCGTTCCAATTTTTTCGCACAATATCCTCCTGTCCCTCCGTCACCCTCCATCACTCCCTCTTCCTCTGTCATTTCAGTTAATTCTTGCTCCTCGGTGAACTCATTATCTGATATCGCCCGTAACATCTCTCCCGTTAGACCTGTGGATTTCTCTATTACTCAGGGTCAAATAATAACCCCAGACTCAGGGCAGGTATTTCAATTCTCTTCAAGGGAACGGTCCCAAAGCACCCTGGAGGGTGACTTTTTATCGGAGAGCCAGGAAACGGGGCATTCTTTTTTACGTCTCTAAGACCTTGCCTACTTTTCATAATTCTTTGTTTTGAATTCATAATATTAATTGCTCTCTTCCATTAATTTGAAATGAGAAAACTCCTAAGTCCAGATAATTCTCACCTAATTGATTTTCAGAATTTAATGTAAAATTTTCTGTACGTTTATTTGTTTCCATTATCTTATAACTGTCAAATTTTCAGGCAATAAAATTTTTCATGAGCATAATACTTTCTTCATAATTTTGCCTGACCTCGACGCATCTCTACGACTCATGGATGTTTACGGTGCTAAGACTTTTATCTCCATTGAACCGCTCCAAAATTTCTCCTCATAAGTCACTATAGACTGATTTAGTGACTACGTCATCGACCCGATGTCGCATATATCGATTAGGATTTTGAAGGAAAGCAAAACAATAACCTCAAAATTAAACCAACTCAAAATCACATACTAAGACCACATTAATAGTGTTTACTTATTTGTTTAATATGAAAACACAGAGAGACTGGCATTTATCATTTTATTTTTGAATCAAAAACATTGGGTAAACAACCATGGAATCATTTTCAGCGGTTCATGTTTTGAAGTAATTATTTTGTTTTCTTCCAAAATCCGAATCGATACATCGATATTGGAAGAATTTAAGTCATCACTAAATCACTTTATTTTCTGCGGCAACTGTCGTCATTCCTCCTCATTTTCTTTAGAAAGCTTTCTTCATTTGCCAATAATAATGTCAACGATTTTTAAATTATACTCGTTCATTTGAGGCGCTTTGAAGTCAAGGGGCCTGACTCCATTGTGGCATTGCGATTTTTTTTAAAAAAAAAAGAAAAAAAAACCTATAACATAACATTTCAGGCGAATGTCAAAAATATTAGACCTGGTAAATTTTGCGAGAGTGTGGAAAACCCCTATTATTCCTCCTACCTTGTAAAATTTGCTTGTTGTCTCTTAAGACTGAATGCGAATTATATTTTACGTGAGAAAGTATTTTACAGCTGTCGATGAACTTGATTTTGTTTGAAAACTTTTTTCTAATTTTTGATGCGTAATACCTCCTATTTGCAAATGAAAACAAAGAATAACCTGTTCTATTTTACGAAAAAAAACTCGTTTATTTCAATAAGTAGCTCAACAGATTTTTTCTCTTCAAATATTCACGTCTGATTGCGTATGTCCGAAAATTTATCATTTTCTCTCAATATTTTTACTTGAAAAAATTCCAAAACCTCTACGAGGGCAAGAAAGTTAAAAAAGTGAAAAAAGTGAAAATAATAGTTTAATAAAAAATTGGCTGGAACGGATACTCACTTTAATGTCACTGCGAGTCTCTCCATCGGCGAAATTGATTTCCTGTAATTGGTTTCCTGTTTTTGTAGTCCCGGAAGCGTGTTCACTAACTCAAAGAATTTATTAGCACTCATTCTAAAGAATTTAAAGAATCGCTGTTCGTCATTAAGTAAATCTGGGAACAAAGTATTGAACTCGCCAAGTTCAGGTCTCCTCAAATTTATTGGATGTGTCCAAATTTGTCGCCGATTTTGCTGCAGCTCTTCTTCTTCATCAGCCAGTAACAAAGCGAGCACGATGTCCTCGTCACTCGATGAAATCTCCATCAGACACTAGTGCATGCCCACTGCAACCTGCTGATCGCTCCCCTAATAAGAAAAGCGCGAAAAGTTCATGTGATAATACAAATGCCGCGAGAATTCATCACATTTTAAAGACGGCCCGTCACTGGTGACAGGGCTGACTTCTGTGTGCGCGAATTGACCGTCCCGTCACCTACCAGCCGAGCCCGTACGACGGGCCGGTACGGGCCGGACCGGTGCGGGCCGGATTCTGTCTGCTCACTGCTTTACGAGCAAGATCGGAGACGGAAGACGGATGCCGATCTCCAGTTTTGTTTTGATTGCTCATGCACTGCGCACGCTCTTTCACCGCGCTGTGTTGTGATTTAAACAAAGATCAATTTTTTTCCTATTCTGTTTGTATTCTGTCTACGGTCTTCACTAATAATGGAGGACGAAGTTCTAATTGAGAAAGTGAGGGCTTTCCCTCACCTCTACGATCCGCAGGATGCGGCACATTCAGATCAGAAGAAAATCAAAAATTCATGGGAGGCCATCGGTAAAGCTCTAGGAGCATCAGGTAATTTGAATTTCATCATACTCACATTCATGCTGTTTGAAAGAGAATACGACAGTGTAAAATAAGTCCGCAACCATGTATGCACGCCAAAACTATTGCCTCCTCATCAGATGAGGCTTCCATTTTTAACAATGAAAATCACTAGAAAAAATTTGAATATGAAACTGACATGCGAATAGCTTTGAGTCATAGACCTCAACTGCATCCTGGAGCTAGCCGGATCGCACCGGAGCAGTGTGCGCTACGTTTCGTCCAGGAGCCGTACAGCTGACGGACGCCCGTCGACGGAGCCGCGACGGAACGGACGGCGACGGCTCAGTGTGGCTAGTGCTTTACCCGCAACCCTCCCCGCGGCACCCTCGAGCGACCCCATCTCCGCGGCGCCGTCCTAAAGCCGAGTTTTCCTCCAACTAGCGCGGTGGCGCGCGCAACGGCGACGGCGTTTTTGGGCGCGGCGCTGCACTGCTAGGCATGAAATCAAATGCTCCCGGTTCCCTCCGAAATGACAGCGCGCGATGAGCGCCAAGCGTCACCGAGCCAACGCTTGCGCCCAAAGACGCAGCACCGGTCCGGGACCGGTGCTGCGTCCTCTAGCGCGGCGCAAGGCGCCGCGGCCCGACGGGATGAAACCTCGTTGGATGTCCTGTCTGGAAACCTCGTTGGATGTCCTGTCTGGACGCCAAGTGCGAATCACAGATGATCACATTCCAGTGTTCTATTGTTTTTGCTGAAGAGCAGACGTTGATTTTTATTTTAATTGATTGTGCACTTGCATCATGACTTCAACTGAAACGTTCACGCCAGTGGAGGACGAGGTTCTACTGAATGAAATTGGGAAGCACCCGTTGCTTTTCAACCCTAAATGCTCCGAATATAAAAACAATATAAAGCGAGAATGGAATGGAGAAAAAAACACAGCGGAACGCATGTGCGAGCACACTAGCGATAGACGCCACACTGATATCGAAAAACACGAAAAACAGTGTGAAAACGCCGACGCTGTACTCAGCGCACGACGCCTGACAGATTCCGAGGAGAACAGAGCCGCGCCATTCGCGCCAGGAACCGCGTTTTTGACGCGATCGCCGTGCGCTGCGCCAGTTGGAGGAAAACCCGGCTTAACCGCGGCAACCCCGGCCACCGTGGGCGCTCCCACCAGCAAGAACCCGGAAGAAGGTTCTAAACTTTGTATGTTCGCTTCTTTAATACGCTTTTTGAACTTAAAGCTTGTACCTTTTTGTAATTTCTTGTAATTTTCTGTACTTTCTTGTATTTAATGTTTAATACAATAATTGAAATCTTGCACTTATGTATACCATTGTTAACACTCCCACTTCCTCTTGGAAGTGTGGGACCCCCTCCCCCCCCCCCCCCCAAAAAAAATGAGAGGTGATTGCGTAATTTTTCAAATATCCACAAAATTTTAATTTTTTACCCCTGTGGTTAAAGCTCCGCAGCACTACTTTCGATCTCCCATGCATCCCATTTTGGCTGAAAAGCCTCTAGAATTTTTATCCATCGACCTCATGGGTCCCTCCTCCCCCCTAAATCTTAGGGTAATTTTTACCATATCCTTGTTATTCTTGATATATTCACAAAATACATAAAACTGTATCCGCTGAGGTCTGCGACGGCAGTAGCAGTAACGAGAAAATTTTCAACATGCTATGTCCCGGAAGTAGGAAAACCCTCTGCAGTCTAGTCAGATATTGGTTCATGTTATCGTCCTAAACCCTGGAATAACCGTCTTTAGGAAAATGGAATTTTGCCAACAAAATCCTCCGTTTACCATCCAAGGTCCAACCCCGTTGAAAGATATGTGAAATTACTTGGCAACTTTTTTCGAATATATTGTCATAATAACCATTGGTCATGGATAAAATACCTACCTTTCGCGGAAATGTGCATTAATCGGACACACGATTCTGGTGTTGGCTGCACTCCCGTGCACAAACAAAAAGCCCACACTTGGTTTGACAATTTCCTTTCCTTTCCGGAATCTGAGAAGCCTGATTTTAACAAACTTCAAATCTTGGCCCGTGACAAATTAAAATCCCAGGCCCAAAAAAGAAAACAATAATATGATGAAAAATTCCACTTAATAACATTCAAAGTAGAAGATAAGGTACTGCTCAGACACCACAACTTATCAAACGCATCGTCCGATGAATTTTAAAATGAATTGAGCTTTTAAATTAAATCTGTTCATTATTCACAACTTGTTACAGTAGCTGGAGGTTGGTAACAACGACGGGAATTTCGTTCCCGAAACTCGGACGGACCTGATCAGAATGAACCAATGGCATTTAAAAAATTATAGCTAAAACTTTGAACGATGTAAGCCGATGCTGGATTATCCGTGCACTAAAGCACTATTTTATGTGGCAAAATGAAATCCTTGTATCTTCAAGCAGTGCTCTTTACATAGGTTCCATCACAATCTGCGGCCATGTAAGCGAGAAATCTGATGTCAAAGATGGTCCTGACGGGCAGGTTTCAGTCGGTTTAGTCGTGTTTTCTCTTTCAGAGCTTTGGAAATGTTTAAAGACTGTAAAAACCGTGGACACGGTAACATGGCGATTCTTTAGGTGCCCACGTATATGGGTTTAAGGTTTACCTTTATCGCAGAGATTGAGTAACTTTCTCCCGACCCTAGATTCTTGAAATTCATATTGCCAACCAAAGTAAAAAGTAAAATTTTCGTCGTTTTGGGTTATTAGGTGCTTATTACTTTTTGAAAACTCAATGGATCTTGATGAAACTCTTTCACTTTGTAGTCCTAATTGGACTACATTTTGCAATTTGGACTTATAGATTCTAGCCCGGTTTAAAAGCAACGTATGTGCCATTGATTTCCCTATGCACATACGTGTTTTTCCAGAAGAGCCAGAATTTATAGTTCTAAATTGCAAAATGCGGTCCAATTGAGATCTGCCCGTAGACACCAAGATCGTAGGAATCCGTGCCGTCGTTTGGGCTGCAGTCGAGTGGAATCCGAATCAATTTTCAGTTTAAGGGAGTTACGTGTGTCTAAGAGTGTCGGCTACCACTTTGCTATTCTTCACTTTGCTTTTCAATCGCCTTGGAAATTACGGTCTTGTACGAACGTAACATCTCGCTTTCAGAACAATGTCGACGAAAGACAATGTCAATTCTATCCCGCCCGGCAAGTGGTCGCCTGAAGTAGATGCGGAAATGTTGTCACAATGTAACCGCCAAAAATAATGTTGCAGCAACGTTGTGGCAATGTTATTTTTGGCCGTTGCCGGACGGGATCCAACCTGACTCAAAGGATGCCCCCCCCCCCCC